GTTGTACTTTTTGTCTGCAGTATTCATCTAAATATCACTGTAGGCCTGAAAAGCGAATATTAATATCCCTATTTCATAGATGAGGAAATGTGACCTCACTGAAGTTTATTGCCCAAGCTTGCATCACTAGTAAGTAACTGAGACAGGATTCTAACCCAAATCTGACTTCAAACCTTGTTCTTAGCAATATGGGATTCCACCACCAGTGTTAAGGAAAAGGCAGTAGTGACTGGAACTTTCACCTGATGTTAAATAGTGCTTTGTTTCTTAAGTTCTTAAGTAAAGAAATTGCCCACAGTAGGATTTTTGTTTAATTTTTTTTAAATATTAGAAAATCTGTATTATAATTGAATCGTCTCCTTTGACTAATGCTCTGAAGCAGTTTAGATTTTTAGAGTTACAAATTGGTAATAGACATTAAGTTTGAAATTTGTCAGAGAAAATAACATTGACAATGAAATAGTAATAGAAATTGTTCGTATACTAATATTTCTCACTCATCAGAAATGTAAAGTAACTTTTAGAACATACTTGAAAGTGTTAATTGTTGGCTCTTTTCAAATAGCTAATTGTGAACTAAAATTTCTCTATTTAAAATCATGTGGTTGCACAGTCTTTAGTACCCTCCAAGAGTTTTTAAGCATTTTATTATTCAGGCTCCTTGGACACTACTGGTAAATTATTAAAGAACCTAGGACTTTGCACTTGTAGAAAAGGGAAATTCCTTAGACCAATTAAATTTAGTAGATTTTATTTGAGCAAAACAAAAACAATTCATAATTGGGCAGTTCCCAATTCAACACATACCAGCAATGTGATCAGGCAGCATTTGTAGAAAGATGGAGATGAGAAATGGAAAACAATTTAATTGACTACAGCTTAGTTTATTGGTTGGTCACTTGGTTACATCTTAGTTAATTGGCTGCAGGACTTCCTACAGCCAAGCAAAGCTTACTTCATATGATTAAATTCTGTTGGTTTGCTTTGATGAACCCAGCTCAGATTACCAGGTCCATGAACTCCCACAAATTTTATTTAACACTTATGAAAAATAAATGATATGTTAAAGAAGCAGCTGTACTATAATGAGTTGGACTGAAAAAGTAATAATTCTAGTCCATGAAATAATTGGAAAACAGAATCTTCAATTTTACATAGAAGGATCTTGAAAGAAATTAGATGATCTAGTTCTAAGTGAGGAAAATAGGGTGAAGTTGTTGTGAAGGGTCTTGATGGTGAGAAAAATTGTTTTGGCAAAATATTATGATTTGGGACTAAGGTTTGGAATAGAGCGTTTGTCTAAGGGAAGAGTTGGATATAAGAATGTTCTTGAATCATAGTGTAATGACTCATAATGGTTCTCAAAGAAGTTTAATGTTTTTATTATGTATGCCAGTATTTCAAAAGTGGGTGCCATAGGATTGGGGATATAGCTCAGTTGGTAGAATGCTTGCCTTGCATGCACTAGGCCCTGGGTTCAATCCCAAGCACCATCAAAAAAATAAATAAATAAATAAAATAAGTGGGTGAAGGACATCAAGTGGTAGGTACATAGAAGTGTTTTTATTTTTATCATTGTTTATTTGAGAATTTTAAAAAATATGGCTGGCACATTAAACCTGGGATTTATTGATGGCTTATTATTTTCTAGGCCCTGTTAAAGTGATTGATAAATTATACTTATCCCTCACATGAACTCACCAAGTTACTAGATACTGCATTGTATGTACATGATAGTGAGGATATAATTGTGGAGAGCCACAATGAATGACCACACCCTTCCAGTCCTGATGCCTCAGATTCTGACCAACCACCGCATTCACTGTGGCTTGAGCGGGATCTAGCTCCAATGATAAGGAGTCTTCTTTGTGGTATGTGCTCCTAGGGTTGACTTACACTCACCTGTTCCTTGTAATCCTGCCCCTTCTGCCCGTTTTTGGATAGAACTTTCTAAGAACAAGAGTCCCTCCAATAAAAGCTCACTTCCGAATGTATTGCCTCTCTTGTCAGCCTCTTGTGACTTTCTCTTGCTCTCCCTTTTTTGGAGCCTGAGGTTGAGAGCGGGGAAGCCATCTTGAAGCTTGTGTAAAGATAAATTGTGTCTGTGTTTTATTTGGTGTCCCTGCAAATTCACACAAGTGATCTGAAGTTCAGCTGCCCACTCTGTTTGAGGGCAGCATATAATGGTACAGAGAAGTTTTCAGTGCTAGTAAGTGGTAGGTTCAAGTCCAGAAAAGCTAACTGCAGAACTTGTATTCTCACCTGTTGTTCCTTAGGACACAGTGTTTTTTTTTTTTTTTTTTTTTAATGAAATTTATTTTTTAGTTTTAAGTGGATACAATATCTTTATTTTACATTTATATAGTGCTGAGGATCAAACTCAGTACCTTGTACTTACTAGGCGAGCACTCTACCACTGAGCCACAACCCCAGCCCAGGACACAGTGTTTTTATGCAACTGTAGCAAAATCCTGAAGATGATCAGTACATGGCTTAAGTTTTTGAAATACTGCTTTAAGAAAAAAAGAGCTATTAAAGGTTTTTGGAGTGTTATACTATAAATATACCATTTAATGTAAGTTGAAAAGAAATTATATTGTTGCTCAGGATGGATTTTTTTAAAGTTGAGTTGAAGGAATAGGATTAAATTCAGGAAGATCAATTAAGAGTTGACTAGAGAGGTCTAGGTTTGGATAAAAGCACTGAACCAGAGGACTTTTTTTTTTTTTTTTAAGTAGAAATGGGGAAGGTACATAAGAGTGTTTGTGCAAAAAGAATGAAAAGTAAGAAAGTACTTAAACATGAACGATTAGGGAAGAATCAAAAGATAAGAGGTTTTTTAAATGAGAGCATGGTAATGCCATTAGCAAATAGGAAATTGAGGAAAGAGACTCATTTAGAAATGAATTTCATAATAAAAATATAACTTTTGAAAGGAGGGTGAGAAATCTGAAAAATGATCAATGAGCAGTTAACAATAATAAAAAGTTAGAACTGGGGCTGTACATTCAGATGTTGTCTCCTTAGAGGTGAGGGTTATGTGTAATGAGTAATAATAACATAGACACAGGATCTGCAAGCTTTTTAAAAAAGGGTCAGATAGTCAATATTTTAGGCTTTGCTGACCAAGATAAACGTGTAAAACTATTTTTAGTTCACAATTTAAATAGGTAGTAGGGCTAGGTTTGACCCAAAGTTTGTAGTTTGCTAATCTTTGACATAGATTTCTTAAAATATATTGACTTTTGAACCCAGGGGCATTTAACCACTGAGCCACATCCCCAGCCCTTTTTTATTTTTTATTTTGAAACAGGGTCTTGCTAGGTTGCTGAGGCTGGCTTTGAACTTGCCATCCTCCTGCCTCAGCCTCCCAAGCAGCTGGGATTACAGGCATATACCGTAGTGTCCGGCTGCCATTCCTTTTGTATTGACATTTAGAGCTATTCCATAATTTATTTCATTAATCTGGGAAAGTACAGAAGTTTTATTTGTTATGTTTTTGGACAGGCTGTATTCTTGAGTTAAATATTTTAAATGTGGTCTTTTATATAAGTATGTTGGAAATTGCCACTTTACATAGAAATCTTATATTATTAAAAATATATCAAAATTGAAGTTAGTTATTTAGGAAACTTCGTAGTCAAGGAATCTTAAAGGAGTTTAATAAACTCCTTTAAAACTATATCTTGTTTTAGATATTGATGCTTATATAAGTCTAGAAATGGTTTACTTGATCTTAGATTATTCTTTGGGTCACAGAACATTTCACAGAACACAAATTACTTTGGCTCGTACCCAACTGAACATTCTTTAGTTGCTGTACCTAGCTATATTGCATTCCTTCTCTAGGATATTTGTACCCTGCTACCCATTGTTGAGTCAAAATTGGAAGTTGGTTATTTTTATTTTTTAATTTTTTGCTTCTAATAAACCTCTTGGAGCTTAGATTAGTGCTGCTCTGCTGTTTATTAATAGCATCTTGATCTCTTGATTCATCTTTCTATAAAAGGAGGAACTCACTAGATATTTATAGCATTATATCATGTAATTTCCTACCAATTATCACTTCCTTCCAAAATATGAACTAAGATAAAATCCCCAGTTACTGCCAAAAGAGAAACAAGCAAGCAGCCCCCTCCCCCAAAAGAGTAAAATAAAACCAGATTAGCCAAATGAAATTTTCTGAGTTTTATGAAGTTCATTATTAATCCTCTTTATTTTACCTTTTGTTTCCCTATCTAAATATTCTGTTGAACTAAAATTCATTTTTTGTTCAGTGCTCCTTCTTAGGAATTTGAATATCCTTTTAAAAGTGTTTTGTGCTGAGCGCGGTGGCACAAGCCTTTAATCCCAGTGGCTCCACAGGCAGGAGGATTGCAAGTTCAAAACCAGCCTCAGCAATTTAGTGAGGCACTAAGCAACTGAGTGAGACCCTGTCTCTAAATAAAATACAGAATAGGGCAGGAGATGTGGCTCAGTGGTCAAGTGCCCCTGGGTTCAATCCCTGGTACCAAAAATAAAAATTGTGTGTTTTTTTTTTTTTTATGGTAGTAGTTGAAATTTATACACAGAATGTAAGTCATTATATGTCAGTATGTAATTAGAAAGTTGTTTCAGTCAGATCAGGTGAGCAATAAATTTATTATTTAATCCAGATAGCATTTGTGATTACCAAATTTTATTTAAAATATTATTTAGAAATACGTCAAAACTATTGAAAGCCTATACGTAAGCACAATGGAGTTATATGTGTCAGTAAAAGAAAAAAATAATGTGACATGTCTGCAATTTGCCATATGCTCTGCTCATTTGAAAGAATTAATTCTGCTGAATCTATTTATTTCTGAATTTTTAAAAAATGTTTTAAAAATTGAATTAACACCTAAGCATGTGTGACATCAGCTGTCCCCTCTATACTGTGCTGCCTGATTAATATTTCAAATGATAAAACTAACTGAACATGTAATGATGGTATATTTTATTTCTGTTTTGATTTGCAGTTCAGAATGTAGTGATGGGGAATGGTCTGCTTCTTTGCCTCATCGATTTTCTGGTACAGAAAAAGATCAGTCCTCAAGTGATGAAAGCTGGGAGACTCTGCCAGGAAAAGATGAGAATGAACCTGAGCTGCAGAGTGATAGCAGTGGCCCTGAAGAAGAAAACCAAGAATTATCTCTTCAGGAAGGGTATGTTAAAACAGTGAAATTTACCTTCTTATTTGTTTTTTGATGTGTATTGTACAGTAATGGTATATATCACATTTAAATGTTGGGTATGCCTCTGAATACCTTTTTAGAACCCATTCAGAACCAACAGGCTCTACTGATTTTTTTTTCATGATGCTTTTAAAAGGAACAATTAAGAATACTAGTCAGTATCTTCTACAGAGATATAATGTATGCTGTCACTTTGCTTTTTAAGGAAAATTTGTACATTTAAAGGGTCCATTTAAGCTGCATGAGGTGGCACATGCCTGTGATCCCAGCAACTCAGAGGGCAAGGCAGGAGGTTCACAAGTTCAAGACCAGCCCCAGTAACTTATCAAGACCCTAAGCAACTTAGTGAGACCCTATCTCAAAAAATAAAAGGGGCTGGGGATGTAGCTTAGTGGTAAAGTGCCCCTGGATTCAATCCCCAGTACCTAGTACAAGAAAAACAGATAAATAAGATAAAAGGTCAATTTAGTTGAGTTAGGAATGAATAAATTACAGTTGCCATTGCTATACAAGTGAAGCATTGGCTAAGGAAAATGGGCAACCTCAAGAGGGAAATCAGTGATTGTTTCACAGAAATGGAAACAGTTGCAAAAACTAAAGATCTAATATTCTTGTCTAATTGCATTGGATGATATCATCAAAACATCAGTAAATGATGATAAACATCTTAGACTTTTCCTAACTCTAATGGGAATGCTCCTAGTCTAAGTGTTGTTCAATTTACACTGTGAAAGGCCAGATAATAGTTTTTACTTCATATGTCAGTTTCTGTTGCAGCTTCTCAGACTTCTGTTGTATAAAAGTAGCTATAGGCAATATGCAAATGAATGGTTGTAGCTGTGGTTCTAACACAGTTTATTTACAAAAATGGTGTGAAGTTGTAAATAACCTGTGGCCCATGGTGTACCATTACTTATTCTAGTATTTCCCCAGTAAGAATGATCTTGGCTTTTAGGTTAATTTCTTTCTTCAACACAAGAGCATGTATGTGCCTACACTCACAGGTTCTTTTTTAAATCACTAAAGAAATATGTACCTTTTATTATTATATGGGTTTTTGTTGACTGTATTACAGTCCTTTTAGCATCAATGGAAATGATCATAATGATTTTCCACTTTTGACCTGATGATCTTGAGGAATTATTCTCATTAGATTTGCTAATATTCAACTACCCATGCTCTTTGAATAAACCAAATATGATCACATAGACATAGTTTAATGTTGGATTCTGTTGCTGTTATTTTGCTTGGTACTTTTGAGATCCTTAAGTAGGCATTGTTGGGCTGGGGATGTGGCTCAAGCGGTAGCGCGCTCGCCTGGCATGCGTGCGGCCCGGGTTCGATCCTCAGCACCACATACAAAGATGTTGTGTCCGCTGAGAACTAAAAAAAAATAAATATTAAAATTCTCTCTCTCTCTCTCTCTCTCTCTCTCTCTTTTAAAAAAAAAGTAGGCATTGTTTCTACAATTTGGTTTCAGTATCAGTTTGGTATTTGCTTTGCTAAATGAAACATGTACTTTTCTATTATCTGCATCAGTTGTTTAAATAGCTTAATTATTCTTTTAAAGGTTTAATATTTGCTTGTGAAATGATCTAGGTTTAGTGTAGGGGAATATCTTTTTGGATAATTTTAGTTTTTTCCCATGATAACTGGTTGGTTTTTAATATTTATTATCTCATTGTCTCTATTTTGGCAAGTTGTTTTCTAAGAAAAAAAGTACTCTTTCATCCTGTACTAGTATTAAAATTTGTGCTTCTCAAACTATATAAATTTCCTGCTTGATATTAATGCTCTAAGAAAATCTAGGTAGGACAGACAGATAATAAATAAGATATAAATACAATAAGTTACAAACTGTGATATTACTACAATGGAAATAAAACAGCAATGTGCTAAAAGATAACTAATAGGGTTACTCTTTTGAAAACAAAAGGTTAGACACTAAGCAAATCAGTATGGAGTTTCCTCAAAAGACTAGGAATATATGATATATCACTATATGATCCAGTAATACCACTCCTTGGTATTTGTCCTAAAGAATTAAAATTAGCATACTGTAGTAATAAATATGCATACTTATGTTTATAGCAGCACAATTCACAATAGCCAAATTATGAACTAACCTAAGTATCTGTCAGTGGATGAATGGATAAAGAAAATCTGCTATATGGGCACAATGGAGTTTTATTCAGCCATAAAAGAAAAATGAATGAAATTATGTCATTTACAGGAAAATGGATTGAACTTGAAAGCATTATTTTAAGCAAAATAGGCCAAACTCAGAAAGTCAAAGATCCTATGTATTATCTCTTATGTGGAAGCTAAAGATGAAAAAAGAGGAAAAGAGTGGTGGTAGGTTCTCCTGCAAATAGAAGGGAAATGAGTAGAGAAAGGGGATTAGAAGGAGGGAAAAAGGGAGGAAATGATGTTGACCAAATTATATTGTGTGCATGTATTAATATGTAAAAATAAATCTATTATGTGTAATTATAACACATCAATTAAAATATGGAAAAATTTAAAAATTTTAAAAAGAAAGTAAAAGGTTAGAAAATGATATTTCAGGGGCTGGGGATATAGCTTAGTTGGTAGAGTGCTTTTCTTGAATGCACAAGGCCGTGGGTTCAATCCCAAGCATCACAAACACACACACACACACACACACACAAAAAAAAAAAAAAAGAAAGAAAGAAAATGATATTTCAGGCAAATACTAACAACAACAACAACCAAAAAAAACCTGAAAAAGTTGCATAACATTTACAAAGTAGACTTAAAGACAAACATTATTAGAGAGAAATAAAGTCACAACTGAAGGTAATAAACCCAACTTACCAGGGAAATAAATGTACCAATTCTAAACTTGAATGCACATAACGACATGGAGTCAAATTAGACAAATGAAAATTTGACCAAACTATATGCATTTACCATCTTACTAGGAAATTTTTACATACCTATCTCAATTGCTAATAATTCATGGATATTAAAAGGTCTATCTTTAGCAGACTTGTGTATGTTAAGCATGATTTAATGAAGATTGCATTCTCAGAAATACACAAAGAACAATTATAAAAACCAGATATGTACCATTCTACTAAGTACAAGTTAACACTTTCTAAAGAATCAAATATGCAAACTGTATTCTCTGACTACAATTAACTCAGAAGAAAAAACAAAAGCATAAGTTTTTTTTAAAAAAAATACTTATACATATAGTTATTTTAAATAGCCAGTAGAACAAACAAGAAAGTATAATAGAAATTTAAAATTGTTTACAACTCAATGATAATAAACATACCATCAGTCAAAACTTGTAGAATATAGTGAAAATTATATTCAAAGGAAACTTTATGATCATAAATGCTGTGTTAGAAAAGAAGAAAAAGTGGCTGGGCATGGTAGTATGTACCTGTAATCCTAGCAACTCTGGAAGCTAAGGCAGGAGGATTTCAAGTTTAAAGCCAGCGTCAGCAATTGAGTGACACCCTAAGCAACTTAGCAAGACCCTGTTTCAAAAGAAAAAGAAAAAGGTTTGGGGATGTAGTTCAGTGATTATGTGCCCCTGGGTTCAATCCCTGGTACCAAAAAATAAGAAAGAAAAGAAGAAAAACTAACAATGAAGGAGCTGTGCATTTAACTTAAAATAGAAAAGGAATATTAGAATAAATAATAGGAGATAAGAATTAGTATTAGTAAAACTATGAGCAAACATCGATGAAGTAGAAAAAAAGTTGAAGATCAAAGAAGTCATAAATTTAACAAATGTAGACAAAGATTGGATAGAACTGAAAATAGTACTATAAAATTTTGTGTGGTGAATTTGAAGACTTTCAAGATATTGACAAGTTACTAGAAAAACAACTTACCAAACTTAAGAGGAAAATGGAGGTCTAAATAATCTTAAAACTATTAAAAATATGGGATCAATTGTTTAAAATGTTCTCATATCATATCAAAAATATGGAATCAATTGTTTAAAATGTTCTCATATCAGATCATAGCTGATTTGGATGATTTTAGAGCTGAATTCTCTTTAATGATGGTTTCCAGGGTCAAATCACTTCATTCTTATGTAAATTATTTCCAGAGAATAAAAAAAGAACTACATCCTCAAACTAATTCTATGAAAGTCCAGTGTAACCCTAATTTAAAAAGTGTATGTGAAAAAAAAATTAAGCTTATTTTATTTATTAAAATAGATTCAAAACCTTAAAAATTACTGGGAATTTGAATGTTTAATTTTTTTTAAAGAAAGATAAATTACCAATCTGAGTTTATTCCAGAAATGTGAAGGTAGAGTCACATAGAAGATCTGTAATTATTATTCATCACATTAACAAAATACAGGAGAAAATCCATATTATATAGTCTATAGATGCAATGAAAAAAAATTACTTAGTACTATATGATGGAAACTCAAATTAAGATTGGAATGGTATTTCCTTGACCAAGGAATGGCATTTCTTTGCTATTATTGTATTTACAGCAATAATAGCAAAATCTGTAGAAATTATTTTCAACAAGAAAATATTAAAAATTTTCCTTCCTTAAATCTAAATTAGTAGTTAAGAAAAGTTTGCTCATTAGCATTGTTTTTATAACCTTCCTAGTGGAGGTCTTACCATGGTACACTGGGAAAATAATGAAAAGCAAGATATAAAAGGAAGAAAATAAATTGCTGTAAATATATTTGAAGTTTTTGAAAATTTTAAAATTATAGTCTTTCATTCCCTTGGGATATTTGTTTCTGACACTAACTCTACAAAATTGAAGATACTTTTGACCCTACTGTTCAGAATCTTATTTGTTTGTTTTAATTTATAAAGAATTGATATTTATTTATTTGGCTTATGGTTTTGGAGGCTGGGAAGTCCAAGAGCCTGGCATTGGCATCTAATGAGGGCTGTCTTCCTACATTATAGCATGGCAGAGGACATCACATGGTGAGACAGAGCAAGCATGCC